CCTTGTAACATTATTCATCTATTATTACATTTAGTAAAAACAGAAGAATTAATTTTCCAAACAATTACGTAATAGTTTATTGTATCAGGTATGCATCGTAAATTAGCAATGAAGACACTGTAGATAAAAGTTGTTATCACTTTTAGAACAGAAAAGGACAAACGTATAATAAAACGATAAAATTACAAGTGTGACTAATCCAATTGAGCCTACTAATAACCAGCAGCCTAGGCGAGCTGAACAGTCGTTACCCAACCGTGGAATCAGGAGCATTATCAAAAAAAGTATTGGAAGTACTTTTACCTGAAGAAAAAGAGATCAAAATTATAAAATCAATAAATTAGTTAAAAAATAAAATATCAAAATACTTTGTTAAGTTATTAAAACGAAACGAAGAACGATTTCAAGTATTAACGTCTCGGATTACCTAAATTCAACTGACGAGGACGACTAGAAACCGACTTGGCTCTGAATTAACACGTAAAAATAAAAAGGAACGACAAGATTGAAAGGGGGCAACGGAAACCAAATTGGAGTAGAGAGGAGGAAGAGGAAATAAAAAGATTGATTGGCACGCTGTGTATACAGGGTAGAACATTTATCCTGGCCACCCGGAATATCTCGAGAACTAAATTCCAGATAAAAAAAAAACGTTTCAAATAAAAGTGATTTGTTTCGAGTCGTCGATTCAGAATCTGTAATAAAAAAAATGTGTATCCGATTGAAAAAATTAAGTTGACCTTGGAATCACCTTGAAGACATGATGAAAATTGAAAATAGATGTGACTACTTTATCAGATCCTCCTCGACTTAAACATTTTATTTCAAACTTTTTTTTTTTTTCCTCCAGAATTTAGTTTTTGAGATATTCCACGTGGCCCGGACAAAGTGCCCCACCCTATATGTACACTTGGCATTGTTCCAGTGTTTCAAGACTGAATCAACCTGATCCTGTTCAGTTTAGTGAACAGTCTCGTTTCATTCAGATCGGTCTAGAAACAGCGGCAGTCTGACAAAATGCGTTGGAGTGGGTGCAACGTGGGTCGTGGGTCACGATTTTTAACTGTGTTGTGTGCAGTCGTGGTAACGTTTATGGTTGCCGGGTGCGTCGGTGTGTATGATAATAAAGTGAACACCAGATTTGGCCAGATTAGGGGACTGTTGTACAGGAGCACCAGGGGCAGGCTCGTGTCACAGTATTTAGGTATACCTTATGCTCTGCCACCTGTGCGCGACCTCAGGTTCAGGGTGAGTTCCTTTATTTCACGGTTCTACTTTCTCAAAAATTGATTATAAAACAGATACATATATATTGTATTTTATGG